AACCAAAACAATTATGCAGAAGTACAACCCTTAACAATTCAAAAGCTAACCAGGGGCACCCCTGGCTATTACTAGAATAGATAAGCAGGAGACATCTGGTGCTGAATCAGGGAGAGGCCATAGCTCAGTATTCGCTCCTAAGCATCTTTGCATGGGCTAGGAAAAATTCTGCTTGAAATCCAACAGAACACTTGACAGATTTGACAGTATTGGGCCAGATGAACTCACAGTCTGGTTCAGAATAAAACAACTTCCTATGTTCCTACTTAGGTCGAAAGTCTTAATGAAAGTCTTAACAGGATTTTATTTTTGTCCTTTGCAAAGTCAGATGTTAAAAAAGAACTTTAATAGAAGTCTATATGCTAGAAGTGCTTGTGTTAAATCATTTTTTTCAGGTGGTGGAAGTGAGAGGACAAGCAGGAAGACCTGACAAAATCACATGCTAAACAACTGAGTTTTATATACACAACTAATCTGCTTAATTATTTACACTCTAGGTGCATGCACGATTGCTTTCTGTGGGAAACACTCCTCTATATAGATAAATGCTACAGATAAAAAACAATAATCTTAAACATTTCCACTTACAGACCAAACATAGTACTCAATTTATCAATTATTTTCTAACTCTACAATGTGCCACTAATGCCTTTTTCTACCCCACTCCAAAAGAAACAGCCACGTAAGTACAAAAATGAAATTTTGCCAATATTAGTGGCCACATTTTTCTCAATGCAAAGTTGTAATGAAAATTGTTATCCAAAACTTCTAATTACAAAAACATTACTACTTCACTCTTCTCTAGCAGAGCAGATTAACATAGATCTTACATGTTGACAGTTATGACCTTCTCTCCAGCCAACACTTGTCAGAAGTAATTACCTAGATGTTTAGGAAGGAGTAATGGAGTGTGTGTGCTTTGTCTCACCTTTGCTTGTTACTTATCCAAAACAAGTAGATTTCTAGGCACATGGTTTGCCTGCAACCAGTTTTAAATTCACCTTAAGAAGATGCCTGGCAAACGTCTGCCATGAAATTATTAATTTATAATTGTTTTACACTCTCCACAAGTTACTGGTGCGTGTCTGAAGAAGGAATTTTTAATCCACAAAAGCTTGCATTAATTTTGAGGGTGTTTTTTTAATGGTCTAATAATGAGCTCACATTCTCCTATATTTGTATCTTGTAATTGCCACACTCCATGAAAAGCTGCCCCCAAACACTGCTGAGGATTCTTTACATCAACCAAGCTGGACTTCATGGACTGTTTACATCAAACAAGCAGGATTGCAATTTAGAATAATATCTGCTTATACAGTACACTCACCAGGTATTATTTTTAATTTGACTTCAATTGATTTTATGGCCTGCCTGTAACTAGCTTTAAATTCACCTTTTGAAGATGCCTGGCAAACTTTTGCCATGAATTTTTGCACCAAAACTATACATTTCTGCGTTGATATTATTATTTTCTGCACTGTCCACAAGCTGTTGGTGCATGCCTGACGAAGGTATTTTTAATCCACAAAAGCTTGCATTAATTGTTCAATATTTTTACTGGTCTAATAAAAGTCATATCCTTGTATATTTCTATTGTGTAATGAATTAATGGTTTCCCTTGGATTCCTCTTGAATCTGGCATCCAAAAATTTGTTGCCAATCTGTAGAAGTATTTTATGGAATTGTAAATATTAACTACATGATCTCCTGTCAGTCAAACCTGTCAGCACTGAAGGAAATAAACTAAAAGGAAAGCTGACCAGATTAAATTGTATACGTGTCCATGTGTTTTTCTATGCTGTTCAATCAGGACGGAAAAAAACGAGCCCAGAGCAATTAATGTAATTATATCTTTTTTAACTCTTTTATCTTGAATTCAAGAATCTTCATTTTATAGCTTTTCTGTATACTGTATTTTGTATATTTTCTGTATATTTTGTAGTATATTTTGTATTGTATATTCTCTATATTGTATATTTTCCTGTGTACAGTTTCATGATGAGCAACTTTTCCAAGTATTGAACTGGGATTTGGAGGTACAAGTTTACTTTTTTGTAAGAACAGACAGTAACCTGGACCTTCACACATATGTTTGAATAAGATCAGTTTTACCTTGGCTAAACTAAAAATGGAGCTGACTGGATAGCTTGGTGGTTTAAGTATCTGGCTATAAAGCCAGAGGAGTTCAATTCCCTACTGTGCCTTCTCCTGTGTAGCCTTGGATAAGCTGTGCAGTCCCAGAGCATTTGTCTGCAAAGTCCTCAAAAGGATAACCATAAGTCAAAATTGACTTGGTTGCCTGCAATTATTATTATTATAAATTGCCACAGCTTGATTGACAATAGGGCACTTACTTTGTTTGAAAACTGGCATCTCTATATTATCTGTGAGTTCTTTTAACAACAGTGAAGGCACGCTAACAGCCTGATCACTATGTTTAAAATAAATTCCATCAATTTCAATGGAATGCAGTTATTTTTCTAAATAATACTCATTCCACAAGCTGATGCTGTTATAATAAAAATAAAACACAGCATTCATACATTTCAGAACTATGTACAATGCACATCTTAAACTGAGTGACAAAAAATCAAGAGAAAAGAAAGGAAAAGAACACACATGATAGCAGCTTTGTTTTTTAAAATCATCATCTTCAAATGCTATTCACCTTAATTATTGAAGGTGTTAGGGCAATCTTAATAAGCTCATTGTTTCCTTGAAAATTCATTTGAAGAACTCATGCCCCAGGTGACACAAGCTTCAGTTTAATATAATTTGTAGAAAGACTATTTAAGGTCAGGATTCCCACAAGTATCTTCTATATGTGGAACAATTATGTAAGTTATAATTACAGTTATAATATGTCTGTCGTATCTGTAGAATGATCTCCAGACAGAAACTTTGTATTATTGATAATAGCTTCCAAGTTACATTTCTTTCAATCCTAACGAGGAACAAAAGGAAAGAAATCTTTTACAGTTTCTCACAACAGTGTCTGTAATCATTTCCTAGAAGAAAAAGACAATATGGGGTGATTTCAAAGATCTACTTTTTCTTCTGTAGTCTTAAGGCAGGAAACTACTACTCTTAATCAGCAGGCATATAGTAGGGGGAAGAAAAAAGGCAGGTTCTGTTCATGCTACACAGTAGCCTCAGTGAATAAATGAGAGGTCAATGAGAGACTGAAGATGGAAATGATGAGATATTGTTATATTTTGTCTCTGTGGATCACAGTTCCATATAAATTATTATAAATGGCCCTAAAACACATTGAATGTTGTGTTTTGGTAGCATCTGCATGCAGTGTAATGCAAATAACTTTCAAGCATTCAGGGATAAGGACTGTGATACGTTCAAGAAGACAATTCTTTTCCTAATAAGTTTACAAATTCTGCCACCTCCTCCTCCATCATCTCTACTTTCAGTATAATCAGGTCCACAAACAAGGTTCTAAAGGGTCTTTGCTCTCTAACATTCTTTTTCAGAAATGGCTTTTAGAGAATGTTTTAAACCTGTTTTTATCTCTGTTTTTTATCAAGTGTCAGTCAACTTTTAAAATTAAAACTAATTTTTAACCAATTGTAAGTTACTTTGGGAGCCTAGGTAGGGAGAAAATGATAAACCAATGCTGCCAATGAATAAATAAGTACAGTAAATGTAAAGCAATTTTATTAGTTGTATCATAAACAAGCACAATCCAACCAGAATTACACACATTCAAATTTCATTGGTTTTATTGAGAAAGTCAAGGACATCCCTACAGTTCTCAGACTTCTATGGGTGGGTACAAAAGGCAGTTATTATTCACTGCATAGTGTTCCATTCTTCTATGCATTATGGCCATAAATATAACTTTATAAAAATAACAGGTACTTTTTGAATTTGTCACTCTAGAAATAGTAATAGAGGATAATATGAATGTACATCTGTATGCACATAAGTATAAAAGGGCTTCTTATTTGTCTTTTTCATCCTTTACATTAAATAAGCTACTGATTAGTCTAGTAGTTTCATCTATGCTGCTTTACCAGTTACTTGTACAGTACTTCAGTTGTGTGTTATCTAATACAGTCCACTGTATATATAAACTGGCACATCAGGAAAGGCTTCTCCACATAGTTCAAAGGAGGCTGAACCATTCTCAGTCACTTTGTTGCTGGGTTTGAAGGCATCGTGCATTTTTATAAACTTTCCTCACTTCCCGCTGCACCAAACTGAAAACAGCCATATAGAGTTCCTAAACAGTGAAGTTTTCATAAGTCTATAGCACCTAGGCCAATGCCTTATCATTTTAAACAACAATGTTGTGTTGATTGGCAAGGTAAGGTACAGAGGGGATGGGAGGGAGTAACAAAGTTGAAAGTCACCTGGAGCAGCAGAACCCCTTGAGCCAGTTCTGTCCAGGCGAGTAGAATTACTAGAACAATTACTGGTAGGTAAAACAATTTACAATCAAGGCTAAATAGCAAAATGAATATAATCAAATCTACAATGCTTCCTTGTGGTCCTTTAAAAGCAGGACTATTGGTTGTCAATCTACAGTGCTTGCCACCTCCAGGTCATGGGAACTGGAAAATTAATCTGACATCATAAACACATTTGTAACCTGTTCCCAAGTGCAGAAATAAAGGCTTCATTGTAGTAATCCTCCTATTGTGTCTAACAACTATACTAAAATGAAGTCACTGATGTCTAACATTTATTTAAGAACAGTAGGTTTCTCTTTGCAGCACAACATTTTGGTCTCTCTTCCACTATGTAATTTGGACCTCATTCTCCATTTAATTCGGTTATTTTACAAACAAGGAAATGTCAAGCAATTTTAATTGAGTGAGAAATGTTACACTTCTGTTTTCTCTTTGGGCAATCACCTCTTCCAATGTCTGTTTCATTAAATGTTGATCTTGTAGAGAAAGAGAGTAGTCTCATGGTTTGTGACTATCTGACTAAATTCAATGGCAGATGGACAAAAGTTAGTACTGGACAATAAGGATTCTTACCTGCTGCTTTGGCAACATCAGCAGTGGTGATATTGAGGGCATTCGAGTGCACTTGGAAGGTCACAGCTGGTCCCTGCATGCTACAAAAATAATTTAAACAAGACGTTGGTAACCAGGAACAACATACACAACATTTGCAAGAATAATCTCTTCTCTTTGCTCTGCTTTCCCAGGTTCAGCACAAAGTTGAAGAAGAATTTTAAATGTCACTCTCAAAGCAGAGCATATACTCAGATTAAACATTTAACAGGATCAGACTCAACTCAGTTTTCATTCATGACATGAGATGGTATAAAAGTATCTGTCAATTTTATTTTCCCTGTATTGTAATTTTTCAAATTTCTATTTTCCCCCACTGAATTTATGGAGAAAAGCAAGTCACATTTTCAAACCTCTGTAAATTTTAGTTTCTCAGTTACAGGTTTTCTTGCAAGGGATGAATCATATTAATTATCTGTTGTGTTGTTGTTAAGGTTTAGATGCCTTTCAGAAGGGGAAAAAGTGACTATCACAGTTCAGTGTTGTAATGCTAGTCGGTCAAGACGGTCTGAAGGATGGGAGAAAGAAAATGCATCCTTCTCTTCTCTGAAACACACCTTTTTAGTCTAGGGAGATTAAGTTTTCAGTCTCATGGCAAACCCACGCCAGCCAACCAGAATGCCCCAAGCTTTCGAAGTTTCAAGCAGGCCTTGCCACCTGAATACTCTTATTTTCATTCCTCTCTCCTTTAACTGAGAGAAAATCATGGCTTTACACAAACATTAAAATTTCCATGACAGTTGTCTGACTGAGATATAAATACAGTAAGTGAAGCTTGGAAGCATACCTTTTATAGACACAGTAAGACCCCTGTATATGCAGGGATTGGTTCCAAACCTACCTGCAGATGCTGAAAAACAGATTATAGCAAACACTATTGTAACAGCAAATGATATACATAGTGTGATCTCTAGCTCTCTCTCTTATGGCCAGTTCTGGTAATGACACCATGGAAATATATATTTCTGGGAACTTTTCTTTTAATATTTTTAGACTGTCAATAAGTGGATCAGCAGATACAGATTCTGCAAATACAGGGAGGGGGGGTGCCCTACTGTATAGCTGCCTGAATCCTTCAGCCAGCATGGCCCTACTGTCTGGGGGACTCTGGGCACTCATGAGAAAAAATAACTTTTCCCATCTATGAATAAGTGAAGAGATATCAACCCATTCCTCACATTGCATGATACTGTTTAGATAATAAGTAATTTAATTATCTACAGAGGCCATCTTACGTATTTCCTATGTCTTCAGAACAGAAATCAATTAACACAAACTTTCTTTCCAACTTCATTAAAAGTTATCACAGAGTTCCCAGAATGTTCTTCCTAGGAAGAAAGTGGCTTTTCCTGAGGTTCCCTGAAAGCCAGGTGTGGCTGCCACAAAGGAGGTCTGTCATGCTGGCTGGGTATGAAGCCACGGTCTGCTAACCTGAGCAGAGCCAAAGAACAGGTCACTTTATAAGATAGTGCTTTGAACTTCAAATGGATGGTAGTCATTTCTGGAGAAAAACACTTTAAACAGAAACTTAAAAGATAAGGCCTTTTTGGCCTGCTTTTGCATTCCCCAGTCTCCTCTTTCTGGCGGTGGCGATTAGCTCCTGGTTGGCAAGGGTGCATGTGGCGTATACACTGATTTTACCTGCTCTTGTCACTTGGTGGGGGGGGGGGAAGAGGGCATTGGTGGGACATATGGCACTTTTCTGTTCCATTGGGCACCACACAGACCACCAAAACTGCCAACCAATCCCCACAAAAATGAAACTGGATGTTTCCTGTTTTAGTAAGTAGTATTTGAGAATGTTAACTGGTAATCCTATGAACTGTTTAAAGGCAAATCACCCTCCTGGATGCACCCAGCCTTCCTCATTCCTCTGCCTTCCCTGCAGTTTATCAGATGACAGGACAAAGGACAGAAACAAGCTGTAATATTCACATCAGCACATCTTCCCTTCCTCTAGATGAAAGGAGATCTGGAAACTTAGAGTTCTTTTCAGCCACTCCAGAAAAGGCTAAAAGAGTGGTGAGGATGAATGTCCCCAACCACTCTGGAAAAAAGGTAAAATTTGGCATGTTCACCATAAGCTATAGTAGAGCCTGTAAATATATATACAACAATCATGTTTACCACGTTTTGTGATCAGGAGCTGAGCCCGGTCAGGGTTCCTCACCAAATAAAATGTTGTTAAATATATTCAACTACTGCAGTTATTGTCTTTGCTGACTTTTGCATTGAATATTTAAAGGTCTCAAATACTTCTGAATGAGGTGGTGAAGCAGGAGGGGGCAGAGCGACACATGTGCCCTCACAGCAACCACCTCTTCAAATCTAACCAGTTCAGGTATAATGCTGGAATAAGACTTATCTTTCCCAGGTGTCATTTTACCTAGGACGCTACAGTTATGGCTTGCTAAATATTAGCAAGGAATTTTAGTATTGCTAGCTTATTAGTTTGTTGCAATCCTTTGTGAACACTTGGAAAGACCTGAGCATTTTTCCCCAAGTGCTTGAAAGTAAGAATATGCTTCGGGTTTGGAAATTATTTGGAATCTGAATCAGAGAGGGAATATTCATCTATTTCTGAATCAATCTGAAGCAAGGCAAGGAAATACAGTACAAAGTGGCATTCAATCCATTTGTGGCTCTCTGAAGTGCTAAATATTGGTTCTGTGTTTCAGTTTTAAAACCTGGAGAAAAAAATACTTTTAAAAAAATTCTTACTGGTGAGTCTCACTCAGAAAATAAAATAATACTTTAACAGAACCAGGAAGCCCAAAGTAAAAGGTGAGTGACAGCTCAAGCACCAATGAAAGCCCAAGCTCTCTTGAAAGGCTCAATCATAGAGCTTGGGCTTTAAGATCCTGGGAGGGATCAGAATGGCTAAATAAATTCCCTTCTTCTGTAATCAGCTGCTATTTCAAGTTTTGGTAGGGCAAGGGAAGAATGAGTTCTGGTAATGACACCATGGAAATATATATTTCTGGGAACTTTTCTTTTAATATTTTTAGACTGTCAATAAGTGGATCAGCAGATACAGATTCTGCAAATACAGGGAGGGGGGGTGCCCTACTGTATAGCTGCCTGAATCCTTCAGCCAGCATGGCCCTACTGTCTGGGGGACTCTGGGCACTCATGAGAAAAAATAACTTTTCCCATCTATGAATAAGTGAAGAGATATCAACCCATTCCTCACATTGCATGATACTGTTTAGATAATAAGTAATTTAATTATCTACAGAGGCCATCTTACGTATTTCCTATGTCTTCAGAACAGAAATCAATTAACACAAACTTTCTTTCCAACTTCATTAAAAGTTATCACAGAGTTCCCAGAATGTTCTTCCTAGGAAGAAAGTGGCTTTTCCTGAGGTTCCCTGAAAGCCAGGTATGGCTGCCACAAAGGAGGTCTGTCATGCTGGCAGGGTATGAAGCCACGGTCTGCTAACCTGAGCAGAGCCAAAGAACAGGTCACTTTATAAGATAGTGCTTTGAACTTCAAATGGATGGTAGTCATTTCTGGAGAAAAACACTTTAAACAGAAACTTAAAAGATAAGGCCTTTTTGGCCTGCTTTTGCATTCCCCAGTCTCCTCTTTCTGGCGGTGGCGATTAGCTCCTGGTTGGCAAGGGTGCATGTGGCGTATACACTGATTTTACCTGCTCTTGTCACTTAGTGGGGGGGGGGGAAGAGGGCATTGGTGGGACATATGGCACTTTTCTGTTCCATTGGGCACCACACAGACCACCAAAACTGCCAACCAATCCCCACAAAAATGAAACTGGATGTTTCCTGTTTTAGTAAGTAGTATTTGAGAATGTTAACTGGTAATCCTATGAACTGTTTAAAGGCAAATCACCCTCCTGGATGCACCCAGCCTTCCTCATTCCTCTGCCTTCTCTGCAGTTTATCAGATGACAGGACAAAGGACAGAAACAAGCTGTAATAGTCACATCAGCACATCTTCCCTTCCTCTAGATGAAAGGAGATCTGGAAACTGTTACCTTCCCACCGAGGTGGTCCCTATTTATCTACTCGCATTTGCATGTTTTCGAACTGCTAGGTTGGTGGGAGCTGGGACAAGCGATGGGCGCTCACTCCGACACATGGATTCGATCTTACAGCTGAAGATCTACAGATCTTACAGCACAGAGGCTTCTGCGGTTTAACCCACAGCGTCACCACGTCCCTTTGTCTTAGAGACTACTATTTGCATTGCTTTCATCTTCAGTAGTGTACGTGTGCTGGAGTTTTATTTTTCCCTTTACTTATAAGCAACTGCTGATGTCATTTTGCATTACACATCTTGAGTCTCTTATGTAAGATTTGAGTGGGGTAGGTAACATCTGCATTAAGAATCGGATCTAAGCTGTCCCACATACACACACACAATTTTGTACTTTACTTTTTAATGCCTGCTACGAACTTTAATTATTACACCATTTTGGGTTTTTTGCTGTGCCTGCTTGTGTTCTAAGAGGTTTAGTGACAAACATGACACACAAGGCAGCGATAAGGTACTCTATCCACTGGGGCAGCAAATCTACTGACCAAGGTCATTCCTTTCACCTTAAACAAATATTGAGTAAACATGAGTAAATTGTATGGTTGCCGATGGGGGGGGGGGGAGAGAGAAGGAAAGAAAGAAGGAAGAAGATTGGTAGGAGTTTTGCCTGGACACCACAGGTCAAACAATAGTTGGTGACAATGAGTTCCATACACACATACATCCCAGATCCTTTATCTCCCCAATGTAATGTTGTTGTTGTTTTCACTATTTAAACCATATAAACCCATACAAACACTTTTGGCTGTTTGGATACAAATTGAAGCAGGCATGGTACAAAATTGGCTTAGAGCGAATTTGCTGCTGTTTGTAAGACACATAACTCGGACCAAATTGAAGTGAATGAACTTCTGCTTCAAAGAAAAGATTGCAAAAAACATGTAAAAACCAAAGCAAGTCAAGCTGACTTTGTCCTTCACAAGTACAAACAGCTTTAGCTTCGGAAGTTTTCATAAATTTTAATTACTATACTTGAAT